TGTCTCTATTGGATACATAATAACCATTTTACTGCTTGATAATTTAGTTATTACTTAGAATTGTAGTTTAGTATAATCACACTATTGAACTCGAATTTAGCTTGACTGAATAACAATATTGGTGAGTTAGTGAGTAGTTGACTAAGTCTCTGTGGGTTCGACACTCGACTTATCATTTTATTACTTGTACGACCACGTATACTTGCGTGTGCGTTTGGGAGCAACAATTTTCACTTAGGTTGTGACCCAACCCTAGAGTGTAAGCTTAATGGCTGTCTGATTTATTGCTTTTTTATGGTTGGATGTTTATTATTTAGCCTTGTTATTGCTTTTAATTATAGAATTAATGGTTGCAAACATTAGTTCATGCCTATTTGACTTGGTCTCTACTTGAGAAAGAGAGACTTAGTCTAGGAAAACTTGGTTAACAAGAAATTGGGGTAAATCAAGAGATCGATAGTCCCAATTAAAGGGTTGAATCTAGAGATAGTAAAATCTTACTTGAGCTTTATATCAATCATTTTGCTCAAACCTATTTGGACTAGAGAAAGCCAAATTGGGCAAAACCACTCTCTTATCGAGAGGTATTAAGTGTGTACTTGAATGTTGATAGCTATAATACACACCGACCAATAAAACAAGCATTAAAGTTTACAACCCGTTAGGGAAACACCTAGGTTAAGGCCATAGCCCTAGGCTTTTTATATCATTTGAAAAACAACAAAAACAATTTCCTAGTTCTATTTCTTAGTTGGTAATATCAATTTAACCTAGACTTAGAAACAACCCAATTTTGTGGAAGTGCAATTTGAGATAATTCAAGCTCATTCGCTAAAGTATATATTCTTAAGTCCCATTCACAGCTCCCTGAGGAAAATCGACCACGACTCATTGTTGGGTATTACTATTGCATCAATCATTTCATAACCTCAAATAGAGATCTGACTTGGACGAGATCAGGATACCTGTCATATCCTCATGTGACCATGCAAAATAATAGGTTTAATTTAAGGAATTTAATAAAGCCAAACCAGAGCTCCGGGTGCAGTCCTATCTCTAAGTGTAATTTCCTTTCTAGGAATTCTTCGAACAATGCAACTTGCTCAAGATCTTCCGTTGAGGATTTCATTGCATCCGTCTCTTCTAGAACTTGGAAATACCTCGACACTTGATAATATTCTAACATTTCTGCCACCGGGCTAACTTCATCTAGTTTAGGAACAGGCGCCGATTCCTGTAGTTGCTATGTCGCGTGTCCCTTTCCTTTGCTACTGGAGACCGAAATTGCGTTCATCTCCCTTGTCGCCGGTAGTCATCCCTTATCTATTTAACCCCCTCGGACGTTGGAAACTTCAGAAATTGATGATATGTTGATGGTATAGCTTTCATCTCGTGCAACCATGGTCTTCCCAGAATAATGTTATATCCCATATCACCGTCTACCACTTCGAAAAGAGTTGTTTTCATTACCCCTTCGGCGTTTGTGGGAAGCAAAATCTCTCCTTGGGTTGACATGCTCGCGAGGTTGAATCCGACAAGGAGTTTTGTGAATGGAATAAAATCTTGCTCTAATACTGAACTTCCTAGATCCACTAGAACACATTTAATTTTAAAATCTAGCACATGTAGAGAAATTACTAGTGCGTCGTTGTGTAGTAGCAACAATCCATCTGCGTCCTCCCCCATGAAAGTGATATCGTCTTCGGTGACTTCCCGGAGCCTCTTGCTATGGGTTATTGACACTGTCGTCTTTTTTTGTTGTCGAGAAGGTGACTCCGTTAATTTCGTTCCCTCCGAAGATCATGTTGATCGTTTGGCGCGGGGGATCTTCTCTTGCTTTCGAGGATTCCGCACTATATCGGTTACGACCATAATTGTTCTTAGCTCGATCACTTAAGAATTCTCTGAGATGACCATTCTTCAATAGTGTTTTCACTTCTTCCCGGAGATGTTGGCAGTCCGCAGTCCGGTGGCCATTCGTCCCGTGGTATTCGCACCACAAACTGAGATCTCTCTGGCTAAGATCAGATCTCATTAGTTTTGGGAACCGTGATTCTTTGATGTTTCTCATGGATGACACCAACTCTACTACACTGACGTTGAAATTGTATTCTGATAGCTTGGGGTAGGAAGGATCCCGTGACCCTGACGCTTCTTTATCCTGCAGTGATTTATTGTTCCAACTGTGATCAGTCCTTCTGTCGATGGTGAACCTGTCCGCTATCCGAAGCCTCTATCGCGAGGCAAAAACTGGCCCCTGAAGGTCATCCGTCCGTGTCAAAATCATCTTTTGATTTTTCTCTATTCTTCTCCCGTTCTTTAGTCGATGATGGAAATCCAACCTGATCCTCGTCGATCCTTATCTTTGATTCATACCGGTTGTGGACATCTGCCTAAGTCGTTGCTTGAAACACATGCAGGCTTTCCTTCAGTTTTCGGGAAGCATTTGAACTTCCCGGATTCAGTCCCTTGGTGAATGCTTCAGCCGCCCATTTATCCGGGACAAGCGGGAGAAACATTCCTTCCTTTTGGAATCGGGGTAATGAACTCTCGTAGCAACTCGGATTCTCCGTGCGCAATCCTGAATATGTCAGCCTTTCGGGCATGTGCTTTTCTGGCCCCGGTATGAGCCTAGATGAAAGAATTCGTGAGCATCTCAAAGGAGTCTATGGAATGCTCGAGTAACAATGAATACCACGTCAAGGCTCCCCTGGTGAGGGTCTCTCCGAATTTCTGCAAAACAGATTCAATTTCGCGAGGAGCTAAATAATTTCCCTTCACCGTCGTTGTATAGGTGGTAATATGCTCCTAAGGGTCTGAAGTTCCATCGTACTTTGGCACGTCGGGCATTTTAAACCGCTTCGAAATTAGTTCTGGTGTTGCGCTTGGTTTATATGGCAACTAAGTATATTTTTTTGAGTCCAGTCCTTTCAGCACCGGTGGCGCGCCCGGGATTCGGTCCATGCGAGCGTTCACTTCCCTCATAAATCGTAATAGTTCATTTTTGAAGGGATCATTTTCGTTATTGGGAACGGATCTGCTCCCCCAGCCCCATTGGAGCCAACTTCTCCCCTCGAGGTGTTGTTGTCGACTCGCTACATTGTTTCATTCGTAAGAGCACCGGGAGGAACCAACTCTCGTCTATTTGCATTATTTGAAGCCCCCGACAGCACCTACTTCAACTCTATCATAGCTTTATCCTGTCGCGTGAGGTGACCTAGAATGATCGCCTGCTGATCGTGCAAGACCCTTACCGCGTCAACGACATGTTCCTCCTCAGCATCATCGGGAGTTGTCTCTCGAACATGTCGAGGATATTGCCTGTCATGCACCGGTGTGGCGTCGTTTCCCTCGTCGTGGGTGTCACTGATTGAGTCCTCAAAATAACGTTGATCCCCTCAAAGCTCGGGATTGTGCCTGTTGTTAACACCGTAATATGCCATTTCTTACGGTTTTTTCTAAGACAAAATAATCAAAACACGTTAGTAAAAAAGGCAAGGATCATTTTAGTTGCACGGTTGTCTAAGCCTCACGGTGGGCGCCAAACTATTTACTCGTAAAATGGTACAGTTGAATTTATACGTGGTTTCTAGACAAGTGAATTAATTTGATCCTGAAATAATAAGATGATTGAAGAAATATTCAATACTTAGCCTTGAGATGGAGACGAAATAGCAGAAACACAGTGGTTCCGGGCACAACAATAATAAAATCAAAAAGCAAGAAGATAAAATTGTATTAAGCTTTGGATAGAGTATAATATAAGTTTGCTAGAAAATTCATGTCCTTTATAATAATAATAAAGCTCACTATTTATGGGTACGTCTAGGGAAGGAGGTCCTAGGATCGTACCCCTCTTTAATGTCAATTATGAGGGTCATTGATGAATATAGATTAGTGAACATAAATGTCAAATTCCCTATAACGGGCAATTGCTCTTAATGACACGAAATATTCTCTATTAAATGCTACCGAGCGAAGAGTATTTATCACATTGATCGTTATTCTTTCAGGCGACAAAAGGAACAGTTGCCTTCGGTCTTGGCCATCCCCCCATCTTGGGTTCCCCGTGTCCCTCTTTTGGACGGTCACGTGTCATAGCATGTTTTACCCTATACAACTACATAGAAATTTTAATTGATTTAGCATGCCTATAATTAGACTTTTTTAATGATTGATTTAGAAAAAAATTATAGAGAGAAAAATATCCCCCCCCCCCCCCGACTCCCCTCGAAACAAAACTCTTTTAATGATTACACATTGGACGCTTTTGTGTTGTCATATATGAATGAGAGATTCTTAATTTATACAGGTCACAACTTTTTCCTCCAAGTAATGAATCTGTTAAATATGAAAGAGATGTATATTTTCTTTTTGGAAAAAGTAAAAATTAATTATAGTAAATTATTTTCCTTCCTTCAAGAAAAGGTAAAATTCAAATATGAAAAGAAAACCAGGACAAAATCCTAACGTATGTAAGTTCAACACTATCTGAGAAATTAACTCTTGAATATTTGAAGGTCATAGGATTGCTAGTTCTATTTGATAGAGGACACTTATAAGGGAAGGGTTGTGTCAAAGAGACACCATCTCATACTCAAATAATATGGATCACTTAAACATTCTATCTTGACATCTCCCTCTCTTTTATTTTTAGAACTCAAACTTAAAGATTGTGTTAGTGCAAAAATATAAATGAATTAAATGGATAATAAAATCTTTAAGTCTTCTTTTTTTCCCCAATAAAGAATATCGAATGTTGCTGAAAGAGTAGAAGAATGTAAACCACGAATGTTAAAAGAATGAAATGAAGTGTATTATACGTGCCTAAAGAAAGAAAGGAAAAATATCCAGTTGGAAACTGCCCAAAAGAATAGTTGCACATATATAGATGCTGCCAAATGCCAAGAAAATGACGTTAATGCAAAGACCGTAGCATCTAAGTGCCGATATTTTTGGAATGAGATCTTTTCAACCAAAAAGTACACTTGTACACCAGAAAAAAAAAATCTGCCCATATCCAAAATCCAGCATCTTAAAATCCCACGTATGCGAAGAATATCAATATCTATTCTATATTCACACAGAAACTCACCTCTGTAAAGAAAAATGGAGAGTCAAGTTGTGAGAAGAAGAATGAACATTATTGCTGCTCATTTGGCTGCCCATGATGATATTTCCACTGCCGCTACCCATCTATTTCCTATGGTACTGTCTTTTTTCTATATATCACTCTGTTTCGTTTATAAAATTATTACTAGTACTAAACAATAGTTGCTTTAATACATAAGATTGTCGTTGCCCCTGTTTTTTTTTTTTTTAAATTTTTAAATCATTCTTCTGCCCTTTGATCAATTAAGTATTCTTCACTAGTTCAGTAAATTGTAGTACTAAGTAAGTGCGTCCAGATATAAACCAAATTAAACTCTAGCAAGAAATCAGAAAATTTATTATAGCTCATTTTTCCTTTTAGGTTTCAAAAGCTTTTTGTAATCTATTAAGAAAGAACTCTAATCTCTTCTCACCCTCCTATGCATATACTATTCTTTCTCTTTAGAGATGTGTTATTTGCTAATGCAATATTTGGCTTTTCACTTGTTTTAATATCAGAGCTGTAGCAGTAGTTTGAATTCTGCGATTCCGAGGTATGATAACAGAATGAATTATGCACGACAAAGTTCCAGTTCTCAAGCTTGTTTCATGAGGCTCAACTCAAGCGAACAGGTCTGTGAATAAAAACAGAAATATTACTTAGTTTCAATGAGATTGCGCTCTCTGATAATCGACCTTTTCTTTCTTATTGTTTTGCGTAGGGGCTGGGAAGCTGTAGTACTGAATCTGCCTTGCCTTTAAAGCCTAATAGTTGTGCAAAAAAGAGTTCTATTACTTCTGAAGGACCAATGTATTCTAGACCTACTAATAAACAATTCCAGTATGTTGCACAAGGTTGCAAATACAATCAAACTGCAGCAGAAGCTCCCAAATTTGCTAGGCCAAGTACAGGAGTTAACGAAAAGTCGCGCTCCCAATTGAAAGAAAGAAGAAATGGACTTCAATCCAATGGTAAACAAAGATGATGCTTTGCTTTGATTGGCGTTTTTGGCTGGAACTAATAATGTATTTCAGTAGTGCTTTTTTTTTTTTTTTTTTCTGGAAATTGAGGGTACAGTGTGACACCCTAGGCGAATCCCACATCGACAAAACACGGGAGAGATGCTGAGTATATAAGTAGGCTGACCTTAGACCCTAGTGACACGTTTTAAAGCCGTGTGGGTCTAGATGACAATATCACTAGTGGGCTGGGCTGTTACATATAGCCTCTTCAGAATGTTTAAAAATTCACTTTTTGTTTTGCTAATACAGGAAGTGAATGGTCTCCTAGGATGGATGTTGCAGAATCTGGATGCATGTACATCGTATCGATAGAACTTCCCGGTGTCAATATAAATGATATAAAGGTAGAAATCAGTGACAAAAGGTAAATAACTTGCAATTATCCTAGTCTTTTGTTCCACGGTATAAGGGATGATCATGTTACATAAAGTTCATCTTAAAAGAGCATCTTCTGCAATGAGGCAGTGACGAATTCAAAATTCTTATTGGTCTAATAGACGAGTGTTATGTCCTCGACAGCTTAATAGTTTCTGGAAATCGTTCAACACAATGGTCGAAAGTGGCAACAATGAATGACTCTGTATCGTCTTATCACAAAAGGGAGATTGTACAGGGACCTTATCGGGTTTTCTGGCCTCTTCCAACTAATGTTAACAAGGATAACGTCTCAGCTGAATTTGTGTAAGTTGCCAAAACTTGTTAGTATCATTTACCTGTTATTTCTACATGCTTAATGTTTTGAGTCAAGAGAAGAGGTCTTTGGAATGTTTCATTACATAAGAATTTGAAGTAAAGTTCTGAAAATTCATGAGTGTTTTACAATGCAGGGACGGACTTTTACAGATTACTATCCCAAAACTTTGAGAAACAGGGCAACCAATCAAGCCGCATATCTAGGTGTAAACTATAAATTGGAAGCAGAATAACTATAAGCAACAAAAGTTATTGTAAAACATGAACCACGTATATGTACTCGATCACATGCTATCTATTGGAAACTAGTGTAAAATGCCATGGATTATGAGCTACCTTGTAATGCTACATTAGTAGCCAAATATATATATCAGTATATACATATGTGGTGATGCCTTTGGAATTTGGATGGTTCCAAATAATCAAGGATTTTAAGTTTTATATACTAGGGGTACAAAGAACTTTTACACGAAAGTATAATTTAATCAATTATAGTAGGTTATCGCTTTATCTTTCAAGTTATCATATCATGCTTGACATTAAGAGTTAAGTGCATGATGTACAATGTAGCGGAGTATAGTACACTTTCGGTGCACTGGATATGAACTCACAGCCAAATATCCAAATAGCCGTTCTTCAAGAATGTTTAAGAGTTAACTCGATCCTCGGAACAATGCGATTAATTTTTTTTTCCCTTTTTTGTGTGATATCAACTTAGTGGTTGCTATTTGGCAAGAACATTTGTTTCTTTTATTGGCCAATGTTGATAGTCAATCTCTCGTATAATTTCTTAATCAACGTCCATTTTACATTATGTATACGGTTAAAATCGTATGCCTCCGATTTATAGGCTCGAGTTCGGGCGAGATCGAGTTCGAGACCGGCTGACCAAACTTGAGCTCGAAGACAGAGTGTGATGCCCGAGGATAGGAGTGCGAGGAATACCGGGGCCAAGTGAGCTCGACCCCGAAATTGTACCGTTATGGATTTGTACCAGAACAAGCTAGATTCCTTCCACGTCCCCAAAGTCATGGCGCAAATCCCAGAATAGGATTGTACAATTCCGTACTAGGCGGTTAGACAGCTGTATCAAGAATATTCCCTACTGTAAATAGAAATATTCCTTATTTAGGGTTCCCCTATTATATAAAGGGGACCCCAATCATTTGTAACATCATCTGATCAGTGAGAAAAGAATATACTCTACCTTTTTCGCCTGCTTTTCATCAGCATTGTCTTTTAGCTCTATTGTTCTTACTTGGCTTTATTTATTGTTCTTATTATATCAAGCTTACCTCGAGGTCCCTGAGCTCGAGATCACTGTTGCTGAATAACATTGGTTTCATTCACTTTTCTCTTTCATTTTTACTTCATACTTCTTGATTATTAGTTGGTATTGAACTAAATCACGTATCTTTAAAACCACAAATCAAATTTAATTGTTACTCGTATTTTCGAGGTAAACAGCTTGGCTCCCATCGTGGGGCTAAAGATAATAGTGATTATTTCTTTACTGATTCTCGTTACACACGTTATCTTTACACTTTTTCTTGTCAAGATTTTTTGATTCCCAGGTACAAACATGTCTAGCACACAAAACGCACATGTTCATGAGAATGAGGGTCTTGGAGAAAACAACGGCATAGGGGTCGGTGTACCACCCATAAACCCTGAGGGAGGGCCAAATATGGAGCTAGTTTATATCAGCTCACATAATGCTCTAAACGTGGATTTAGGCGCGGACCCCATAGGGATTGAACGCAGCGAAGCCCGACCAGGGGACCAAGGAACACCAGAAGTGGGAGATGGGGGAGTCAGCCTCCAAGTGATATTCGAGATGCTGCAGGCTCAGCAAATCGCCATCGCTCAACTTCAAAGTCAAAATAAAACTTTGATCGTAGTTGAGCATGGAAACAATCGGCGTGCTGAGCCAACGCCAGAAAGGTCAAATGAAAATGGCTCGGGGACTGACCCCACGATTATGAAGATGCTCGAAGAGCTCACTAAGAGGATCGAGTCCGGAGAAAAGAAAATTGAAGACAATGATAAGAAGGTGGAGACTTATAACTCCCGTGTAGACCAGATACCGGGGGCACCTCCAGTTTTGAAAAGTTTAGACACCAAAAAATTCATATAAAAACTATTCCCTCAAAGCGCGGCTCCAATGCCCATCCCTATGAAATTTTGCAAGCCCGATATACCCAAGTATAGGAATAACCGACCCCAACGAGCATATCACTTCGTACACTTATGGAATCAAAGGAAATGATTCGAATGACGATGAGATCGAATCAGTCTTGTTGAAAAAATTTGGAGAAACATTGTCGAAAGGAGCTATGATTTGGTATCAAAACTTAGCTCCCAACTCTATCAACTCGTTTGATATGTTAGCAGATGCCTTTGTGAAAGCACATGCCAGGGCCATAAAGGTGGCCACAAGAAAATCGGACGTCTTCAAAATAAAACAAAGGATCGACGAGATGCTAAGGGAGTTCGTGTCCAGGTTTCAGATGGAAAGAATGGAATTACCACCGGTCTCCGATGACTGGGCAGTACAGGCCTTTATGCAGGGTTTGAAGGAAAGTAGCTCGATTGCATCTCGACAATTAAAGCAGAACTTGATCGAATATCCAGCTATGACATGGTCGGATGTGCACAATCGTTACCAGTCAAAAATCTGGGTTGAAGACGATCAGTTGGGAGCCCCCTCGGGTTTAGTTCATCCTAATAGGTTTGCGGCCAAACCCTCGAGGGACATGGACCGGGAATCAAGATTCAGCAATGAACGGTGTCAGCCATATGTCGATCGAAGGAACAGCAGCCCAAGCCGCAACATTCCTTTGAGCGATCGGAGAAACGATCGTGGTCAAAGTTCTCGGGGACTCATGAGTAAGAGTGGGTTCGATAAGCACACCGACCCCGCTGAGGCTCCTCGATTATCGGAGTACAACTTTAGTATAGATGCATCAGGGATTATCTTAGCTATTGGGAGAATCAAAGACACCAAGTGGCCCAGGCCAATACAGACCGATCCCTCTCAAAGAAACCCGAACTTGATGTGCAAGTATCATGGCACACATGGTCATCGAACAAAAGATTGCAGACAGCTAAGGGAAGAAGTGCCTCGTTTGTTCAACAAGGGCCACCTTCGAGAATTCCTAAGTGATCGGGCTAAGAATCACTTCAGGGAGAGAGATGCAAGGAAAAATGAACAAGATGAACCACAACATGTAATCCACATGATCATTGGCGGAGTCGATGTCCCTCAACCACCTGTGTTCAAGCGCACCAAAGTATCAATCACCAGAGAAAAACAAACTCGGAGCTATGTGCCCGAGGACGTCTTATCATTATGTGACGAGGAAGCGGAAGGCATATCTCAACCTCACAACGACGCCCTGGTAATATCTATCCTTTTGAATAAAATTCAAGTTAAACGTGTTTTAGTGGATCCAGGTAGCTCAACAAACATAATCAAATCGAGGGTCGTGGAACAATTCGGCCTACAAGATCAGATTGTACCTGCATCCCGGGTCCTGAATGACTTCAACGTGGCAAGCGAAACGACAAAGGGAGAAATTATCTTGCCAGTAAACATAGCCGGGACCATACAAAATACAAATTTCCATGTCATCGAAGGTGACATGAGGTATAACGCACTCCTCGTGAGACTGTGGATACACAACATGAGGGCAGTTCCCTCGACTCTTCACCAGATGATGAAGTTCCCAACAGAGCAAGGAGTAAAAACAGTCTACGGGGAGCAACATGCAGCAAAGGAGATGTTTGCAATCGAGGAGGTGGTGCCGACTCCTGAGCCTTCAACCTCGGAGAAGTCCAACACTAAAGATAAGCAGGCCGCCAAGTAGCAATTACCGCCTCCAGCCTCGATGGAGTCAGAACAGCAGGTAACCGTAGACGAAGATGAGGATTTCCTTACTCCTCGAACCTTCGTCATTCTCGAAGAATCTGATGCAACCAAATCAACTGTTGAGGAGCTGGAGCAGGTCATTTTGATCGAGTACATGCCCGAGAGAAAGGTATACCTGGGAACGAGATTAACCCCCGAACTCAGGAAAAAACTCATTCAATTTCTTATTGATAATATGGATTGCTTTGCTTGGTCCCACTTAGATATGACAGGGGTTCCACTGGAAATCACCACACATCGCCTAATCACCGATCCAAGGTTCAAACATGTGAAGCAAAAAAGGAGGCCTCAGTCCGAGGTAAAGCATGCCTTCATAAAGGATGAGGTAACCAAACTTATTTAAATTGGGTCTATTCGGGAGGTAAAGTACCCCGAGTGGCTAGCCAACGTAGTTGTAGTTCCTAAAAAAGGAAACAAACTTAGAATGTGCGTAGATTATAAGGACTTGAACAAGGCATGTCCAAAAGATTCTTTTCCCTTGCCAAACATTGATCGTATGGTCGATGCCACAGCTGGCCACGAAATCCTAACCTTTCTCGATGCCTACTCCGGGTACAATTAGATTCAGATGAACCCGGAGGACCAGGAAAAGACTTCATTTATTACTAAGTTTGGAACTTATTATTACAACGTAATGCCCTTCGGGCTATAAAACGCAGGAGCTACATACCAACGCCTAGTTAACAAAATGTTCGAAGAACAAATAGGTAAAATAATCAAAGTTTATATTGCTGATATGTTGGATAAGTCCCTGCGCGCAGAGGACCAATTACTTCATTTGCAAGAAACATTTACAATCTTGAGGAAATACAACATGAAGCTTAGCCCGGAGAAATGTGCCTTCGAAGTTGACTCGGCAAAGTTCCTCGGCTTCATGGTGTCAAATTGGGGTATCGAAATCAACCTTGATAAGATCAAGTCTATCGAAGATATCATGATCGTGGATAGTGTGAAGGCCGTGCAAAGACTAACGGGGCAAATAGCTGCCTTAGGTCGATTCATTTCGAGTTCGTCGGATCGGAGTCATCGTTTCTTCTCCTTGCTCAAAAAGAAAAAGGACTTCGCACGGACCCCGGAATGTCAGCAAGCCTTAAAAGAATTAAAGTGATATCCGTCGAGCCCGCCTTTGCTTCATACCCCAAAGGTAGATGAAAAACTTTACCTATACTTGGCAGTGTCTGAGATAGCGGTAAGTGGGGTACTAGTTCAAGAAGAGCAAGGTACGCAATTTCCTGTTTATTACGTAAGCCGAACTCTAGGAAATGCTGAAACTAGGTACCCTCACTTAGAAAAATTAGCACTTGCATTGATAAACGCATCTCGAAAGTTAAAACCATATTTTCAGTGTCATCATATATGTGTATTGACCACTTACCCCCTTTGAAATGTTTTGCATAAGCCCGAACTATCGGGCCGATTGGCCAAATGGGCCGTCGAGCTTAGCGGGTACGATATCGAATATCAACCCCGAACGACCATCAAGTCCCAAATTTTAGCTGACTTCATTGTTGATT